CAGCAAGAAGAATTGGCATGAATGCAGACCCCTCTCCCCCCAGATATGGCTGTGGGAGAGGAAGGGGCATCAGCTCACAGTGACCCCTCCCCACCAGGCCCTTCTCTCAAAGGGTCCTGTCCCAGGGGTGACCAGCAGAGGGGCCCAGGTGATCCCATGGAATTTAAAAGCCTGCCCACTTCCCAGCCCATTTCACAGATTGGCTATCAGAGGTCCAGACATAAAGGGGGGCCTGAGGGCCCCCAAGTTCCCAATGGACCGCGCAGGGGTGTGGCTGGTGTGGCCCCGGCAGTCCCCCTCTGGGCTGGGTGGATGGAATGTGGCCCTGTGCAGGCTCCTGCTGCTGCAAGCCCCCCGCCCCACCCCAGACAGCAGGCTGCAGCTGAGGGAGCAGTGGGGAGCACGCAGGCAGCCCCGGGGCCTGGCCAAACCACAGGTATGTTATGAGACGCTTCCTGTTGTGGAGACATTTCTGCGCGATCGGCTGCCCCCCTTGCTCCCCTGGTGCCTTCTGTCTCCTACTCGCCCAGCCTCATCTCTGCTGGCTCCCTGGGTCTCTGGCCCCGACTGGTTTCTCTCTGTGTCTCTGTCTCTCTCTCTCTCCAGCTCTGCGTCTGTCACCTCGACAGGTGAGCTGCATTTCTTGCTCAGGCTCTTCCTATCAGGGGTCCAGCCCTGGGGGCCCCTACAGCCCTCCCAGGTCCAGGTAGCCCCTGGACTCCCATTCCAGCACAGCTGCTTACGAGCTGAGTGACAAGTGATTTAACCTCTCTGAACCTTGACGAGCTCATCTGTGAAAGGATTAACCGAGATGATCTGAGTCATCAGCAACTCCAGGGCTGCTGCCCTGTCCTGCTACCCAGATGGCTAGAAAGTCCTCCCTTCATCTAACCTCAATTCCTCCTGCTGCAAAGCAACATCTCCTCTAATCCTTAAAAAACTCAAGTGACTTGCTGCCAAAGGCCAGGACCTTGTGAAAGTTCCCAAAAGAGAATTTTCTGGCCTTCTAGGCCTTTTCTCTGACCGCTCCTGAAATGAAACTGACCAGGGGTCACACAGGCAGCTCAGGACTAGGATGGAGTTACAGATCTTGGAGAGGAGCAGACGAGCTGCCCTCCTCACCCACTGGGCATGATGCCCACCCACAACTGCCCAGCCGGGCGGCTCCAGACTCCTCCAGGGCTCCCCCCACCTCTCTCCCAGCTTGTGGAAACTGGACAGCCCTTTCCCGTCCTTCTCTCCTGTGTCTCAGATGGCGGGGGTCCGCTCCCACTCAAGGCCCAGGCCCCTCCACACCTCCTCCTCAGGGGCCTCTCGCTGTCTGTGGATGCTTGTCCCCCCACCCCCCGAGGCTCCAGCCTCTCCATCCCATGTCTACACAGGCCTAAACGCGCCCCCAGTGACCCTCATCTCTCTCCAGCCTTCTCAGCCAAGCTTCTCGAAAGAACCATCGCTACGCCTCACCCCGGCTGGTGGCTCACCGCCCCGCCTCCCACCTCGCTCTCCCCTCTCCCCAGCACTGAATCCCACCCTGTGACCCTGCTCTCCTCCTTCCTGGAAAGCCTCCTCCTCAGATTCTTCTCTGCCCTCTTCCTCTGCCCTCTCTGCAGACCCAGGCTTGCCCCAAGGAGCTGGCTCAGGCCTCGTCTCTTCTCTCTGGATGTTTCTTCTGCATTTTCCACCTCTCACCAATCCCATCACCAAGGAGACACATGTGTTCCCAGCTACAACCTCTCCCAAGCCCAGACTCTTGCGTTCAATTACAGCCAAGCATTTTCACCTGGCTGTCCCTCAGATACCTCCACCCAAACTGCTGTCATGATCTTCTCCCCCATTACCAGCTTCTCCCCCACTCCCAGGTGCCCAGGCCAGAAATCTGGACATCATTTCTGACCCTTCCTTCCTTACAGGGCAGTAAGGAATCTCTCTAGCCAATACAATGCCTTAGCACAATTAGAAAAGGCTACCCCTCCTTCCAGCCAACTCAGGCCCTATTCATTGCCTTCCCTGAAAGCCCTTGTACAGTAACCAACCTGCACAACTGTACATGACAGCCCTGTTCCGTTACCCTCAAACCCCCAATCCAATCCTGTGGACTCTGTCTCCTCTCTGTGTCCTTCTCTCACTTCTGTTCCTTCCCCTCCTTCTCCATAGTCTCTGTCCTAATACAGACCTTGTACTGTCCCAACACACAACCCATGGCCTAGCACCTCCCAGCCACTCAGTAAAGGTTTATTAAATTAAATTGCCAAATTCCCTTTCCCACTGCTCACCCTCAGCTTCTCTGTTCTCCTCAGTACATCCTATAGATACTCCAACAGTGCTTCCCAAACTTTAGTGCACATCAGACAGTTTGTTAAACGCAGGTTCCTGGGCCCCACTCCAGGGATCCTGATTCCGTAGGTGTGTGGTAGGGCCCAACATCTGCATCTCTAACAAGCTCCCCGGTGATGCTGATGCTGCCTGTCTGTGGACCACACTTTGGCACAGCTCTGCCCATGACCCTCCCCTGCCCTGGATTCTCCAGTGGCTCCCTAGTACCAACATGATAAATTCCATGTTACTCTGCAATCTGCGTGGCTTCCTGGAGGAGGACTCAGGAAGGATGTAGCCCATCCTACTTTAGACTCAGTAGGATGTGGACCAATTAAGATGGAGGGGTAGAGAGGGTGGAGAGACTGATGGTGAGCCCAGCAAAACCCTGAGATCACAACTGGGGGGACACACTCTCGGGCTAAGAGTTATGTGTGTAAGGGGGAGGCCAGGGACCAGCTCGCTGCGGGAGCCATGTGGGTGTATGCCATGCCCACCTGTGTCACTTCCTCCGTGCCTTTGTGTCACCGAATCCAGGTCCTCACCTGGCTGTGTATCTCAGGCATCTCTTGGTGTGTCTCCTCCTATCTCTGTGTCACCGTCCCATTTGCCTGCCCATCTCTGTGACTGTTTGTCTTTCTCTGTCCTCTCCTATGTCCTGGTACCTAGATCCCTGAGTTCCAGGCTCTGTAAATCTCTACCTGTCAGTCACTTGATGGAACCCTCTGGAAGGCCAGCATTTACAGCCTAATGCTCATGCTAACATCAGGTCTGTGTCTGACCTCTCTGGACAATCCCTGAGCAGCCCCCAAGGTCTAGGTGGGGACTTGTGGGTCCAGTGCCCATGAGCTGAGCTCTCTGTCCTGTGGGATCACTACGATATTCTGAACCCCTCAAATTTAAATACGCAGGTGTAAGAATTGCTCCAAAGCCAAAGACTGCCCGGAATCTGGGAGTTGGGGGTAGAGGGAGGTGGCCAGGCTGGGGCAGGGCAACCTGGGGGCCACATCATCCAGGTTGATGGCAGGACAGGAGTGCTGCCCCCTCCCCACCTTGCCTACCCCACCAGGCTTCAGTTCCACCCAGAGTCCCAACCTCCCTCCCTCTGCAGGTAAGGCTCCTAGACCACAGGGGACCTCCATTTGGGAAGCAGTATTAGAAGGAGGCCTGAAGGATGGGTCAGAGTTCAACAGACCCACTGGGGCAGGTGATGGTGGAACATTCTAAACTGAGAGCAGAGCACACATCTAGGCAAGGAAGACGAGGGGACTTCTGGGGTGCGGGGTGTCCAAAAGGCAGAGAACTTGTGGGTCTGGAACTTGAGAGAAAGAAGGCTTCATTGGCAGGGTTGCTGCAGCCTGGACGAGGCCCACGGACTCACCCTTGGGGAAAACACCCATGCTGAGGGAGTGAGAGGAGCCCACCACACCCCTGGGCTCCAGCACCCTATGATCTGGATACCCCAAACTTCTCCATGTTTCCCTCTACCCGCCTGCCTGCCTTTGCCTGCACCATCTCCCCTGTCTGGATTGCCCTTTCTACCTTTCTCCTGCAGGTAAACATGTTAGTCCTCACTTAAGAACCAGTTCAAATGCCTCCTCCTCCAGGCAGCCTTCTGTGCCTCCCTCAGCAGAACAACTCCTCCTCCCCCACCCCCACCTCATCCCTGACTCAGGCTTGGCACACAGTAGGTGCTCACTACAGTCTGCAGCCGGGGTGCTCTAGCTCCAGGCCTCTGACAACCCCACCTCCCACCTCCAGCCAAGCCCACAGGATGGCTTCTCACAGCACCCCTTCTTCATGACTCTTCTGGAGTCCCTCTTAGCTCTCGGCTGGAGGGGGCTTGGGTGGAACCTTCCTCCCCACAGGCGACTAGGTCCACCTCCCAGGCCCCCAGCCTCTGCCCATCTCTGAGGCTAGACACCCCAATCCTCCCCTGGGGAGGAGCATCTCAGGGCAACAAAGCATCCGCGGTAGTGGGAACAGCCAGGCAGGGGCAGATGAATCAGAAGAGGCAGGACCCAGGGCAACAGTGTAACCTCAGGCAGGTGGCCAGGGGACTGGCCGTTCCCCACCAGGGGGCTCCGGCCTGAGCTGGTGCCATAGCTCACTTCGCAGCAGAGGCCTGAAGCTTCTGACTGGGACTGGACATCGGGGGTGGGTACCCCCAGACTCAGCTACCCCCAGGCCCCAGGCTGGGCCAGGCGGGGTCTTCTGGGCTGCCAATTCCTCGTCTTCTGGTTCGCATTTGCAGCCTTTTCCGGAGCACCACCCGCCGCCCGCTGCCTCCCACGCCTGCCAAGATTCCTGGGCCTTCGCGGCTTCCCCGCGCGGTGGCGGCAGCCTCAGCGACGGCAGGAGGGGCTGGGCTGCGCTGGGCAGGGAGGGGGCCCGGCAGGAGCGCGGCCAGGCCACTGCACTCAGGCAGGCCAAGCAAACACGAGGCGCGCCAAGCAGCCGGGGCGAAATAGTTCACAAATGAGAAAAAGCTGCTTCTGAGTTGGGCCGGGGTTTTAAAGCCCAGGCCGCAGGGAGCTGAGGTCACCTGCGAGAGGGGCTGCCTGCTAGGACCCCCTGGGCCTGGGAGGGGCTTCCACTGCAGCAGGAGGGAGCGAGGTTAGATAGCAGCATGCACAGGCCTCATCCACCTGGGAAATCAGAGAACGCTGCCGCCAAATCTAGCTTACCTTTCAGGTCGGAGGGGCCTCTGAAGGTCCGGCAGAGGCAAGGCCTGAGGATGAAAGGAAGAAACAGTAAGGAAGAGGCCAGGAGCCTGGGAAGCCTCCAGCCCCAACTCACAGCCACCCCATTGCCTGCCACAGGCTGCCTACCAGGAGCCCCTGCTGCCATATCCGCCCCAACCTCAGCCTCTCTTCTCAGGAAGCCAGGATGTGTGACTCCCTTCATTCATTCCGTGCACACTTAGCAATGGCCACGGGGTGCCCGGCCCTGGGTTGATGGAATTCTTCCTGTCCTTGGACCCAGGCTGAGGAAGCCCCTTTTGTGTGCCAGGGTCCCCACTGGAGAAGTCCCTACTATATGTCAGGCCCTGGGCTGGGGTGGCCCCTACTACAGGCTAGGGTTCCCACCTGGGGAAGCTCCTACCATGTGGGGGACCCTAGGCTGGGCCTTAGGACACAGAAATGGCTCAGCCCCATGCCCTGCCCTGAATTAGCTGGAGGCATCAGACAGGTGGCCCTCACATAACTGGCTAAGATCTCTGGGCTGTGGGAGCACAGCACAGGGAGCACTGCCTCCCCCTTGAGCTCCCCCAGAAGGCTTCATGTAGGAAGGGACACTGGAGCTGGATCCTGAAGGGCAAGTAGGAGTCTGAAAAGCAGACAAAGAAAAGGAATTTCAGGCAGTAGGAAGCTGCTTGGCAGAACAGGGAAGGTTCCGGAAATGCCGGGGGTTGAGAGGACAAGCAGGGGCTCAGAAGGCTGGGGCAACATAGTGAGAAGACATGAATCTCGTGCTTGCCACTCTCTGGAAGGCAACAGGGAGCCATGAAAGGTTGTTCACTGGGGCGGTGATGTGGTCAGAGCCCTGGACAGCCAGGTCCCCATTTCTGCCCCCATCAACTACGATGCCAGGCTGTCACAAGCCCCACTCAGATCACACAGCTGTGCACAGGGGAGCCGGGGCTGCAGTCCAGGCCCAGACGTGACTCCTGGGTGATGGAGAGGGGACGCCTCGCCAGCCCACCTGGCAGAGAGGCCTGCCGGCTGCGTCACTCTCTCCCACAGCTGCTCGCTCGCCTCTGCCCGCTCCCATGGAAACTCTGACATCCCAGCCCTGTCGCTCACTGCACAAGCAGCCAGAGGCCGCAGCCAACTCAGCTGAGCCCTGCCTCCATCCCGCGCCACTCCGGACACCCAGAGGTGGGTCATGAGGCTACTCTCTGAGGGCCTCACCTGGCTGATGGAGCCTGGGTGGGAGGTTCTCACTGCCCAACTCAACCCCGGCTTCTCTGGCCCCAGCCCCCACCCCCACCATGAGGCTCGGGGAGGGGAAGTGACTTCTGTTGGATCTGGGCTTTAAAGGATGAACGTGGATTTCACTAGGTGGTAGTGGGGAGAGGCAACGGGTCCAGGTCGAGGGAACCGCATGGGTGAGGGCACGGAAGTGTGAAAGCCCTAATCATATTCAGGGGATGGAAATAAGGAAAAGAAAAGAAACAAACAAGTGAACTAACCAATCATAGCTAACACTGACTGTGTACCTACTATGTGCCAGGCACCGTTCTGGGCTCTTCTCGTGGATTATCTCATTTAATCCTCACAACAACCCAGTAAAGTAGGTACTTCATCTTCCCTTTTTACAGATGGGGAAACCAAGGGACAGAGAGGTTAAGTAACTGGCTCAAGATCACACAGCTCATGAAGGGCAGAGCCAGAATTTGAACCTAGGCTGTTGGCTCCAAAGCTTGGGCTCTTAACCTCTCCACTACAAAGATGATTTGAGTAGAGAAGGGCTCGCTCAGGTAAGCCTGAGAAATGCCTTGAATATCAGGATCAGAGACCCCAGGCCCAGTCTAAAGCTGGCTCCCCATCCCCTCCACCCATGTTAGCCCCTATAATGATCTCTACATCCGAAGTCCATGTTATGCACCAGACATAGCCCTAGGCACAGCCTAGGCGTTATTTTATCAGACTCTCTCATAACCCTGTGAGGTGGGAATTGCTGTCCCATTTTTCTGAGGAGGAGCATTGAGGCCCAGAGAGGTGACATTCATTCTCCAAGGTTACAGGGCTAGGAAGCACAGGGATCTAAACCTTGAGACTTGCCTGGCCCCCAAATGGCCAAACCTGTACTCTTGGGCTTCCTGGAGAAGCTGCCTCAACCTAGATGGCAACAGGCACAGGCAAGGCTGGGAACAGAGAGGGCAGCTACTATCAAAGGCCCCAGGAGCCCACTCCAGTTGACCAAGGCTCCCTCCATCCTACAAAATAGGAAGCTGGGGCGGGTGGGTGTGCCAGGGCACCGCCTGAGCCAACTTCCATGGGACTCTGTTCTTAACCTCCATCTCCAGCTGCCTTCCCTAATCTCCTCCTTGAGCCCCTCCCCTGGCGACATCTCCTCCTTGCACAGAGCCTGCTGCCAGCTAAATCCCAGGCCAGATGTGGGTGGACAGTCTGCACCCCCGGTCCCCCACCAGGTTCTGAGAGCTGCAGGGTTCCCAGGGAGGCCGGCGAGGGCCCCAGGCCTGCTTGCCCATCCCAACTTTCCAAACCGAGGTGTTGATGGCCATGAGCTCACAGCTCCTCCCAGAGGTGGGCTCATGGGAGAAAAAGTTCCCATTTCCTGAGCCCCTACCCCAAGCAGGCTCTGGGCTAAGAGTCTTGCTTGCAAAAATCATGATGGGTTAAGAACCTCTCTGGAGCCCAGCCACCTCTTACTAGCACCTGACTTCTCTCGGCTGTGCCTCAGCTGCTTCACCAATAAACTGGGAACAGTCCCTACTTCACAGAGCATTTGTGAGGACTCAACTAGTTAATTTCATGTAGCAGAAGTCAAGCAGTGCTTGGCATATGGAACATTCAAGAAATGTTTGCTATTATTATTATAATCATCACCATGACACCTCCCAAAAGCCCTGTGACGTTAGTATTATAAACCCTGTTTTACAGATGAAGAAACCGAGGCTCAGAAAGAAGTCACTTGCCCGAGTAGTCAGCTAGTGGTGATGTCCAGTGGTTGTCTAGTGGTGGACGGTCCCAGAGTTTGGACCCAAGCTGTCCACAGATGATGACAGCCTCGAAGCTCCCTGGAGCTGAGGCACAGTGTGTGTGTGTGGGGGGGCCTCCAGACCCCCTCAGCCCCTCCTGCCTGACCACCAGGGGCTCCCCTGCCCAAGCCCCTGCTCCTGCTGCAGGAGGGGGCTCTGCATTCCTGGCTAAGCAGCCGGATTTGCTGTGCTCTGGGAACTATGAAAAGAATGTTTGCCACGAGCTGAGCCGTGGTCGCCTGTCAGAGGGAGCGTGGCCTGGAGGGCCCACGCAGAGCTGTGTGGCGGCCAGCAGCCACCACAGTGGGAGGGAAGAAGGCTAGACAGAAAAGAGAACTTCTGGGTAATGAGGACTGTGGACACTGGATGGGGGTGGAGACCAAAGAGTTGGCCTCCTGGGATATTTCAGGAGAGAAACGACTTCACCCCACAATCTGTGATGCTCCTCAGCACAGGCTCTATGGAGAGCCAGGATGGCATTACTGGCCCACCTCCTGGATGGGATTGTGGAGACCCAGAGGAGAACTCACTGAGGTCACACAGCAGCCAATGGCAGAACTGAGACCCGAGACCTGAGACCAGGACCCCTTCCTCCCAGAGGCTGCCCTCCCGACAGGGCCCACGAGGACCACGGCACATTCTTAGAGACTAGAAAACACCACCCCAGCCCGCACTGTTCTGGCCTCTCTCTGGGCCTGATCTTCTCATGCCTGCTACTCCCCATGTTCCCCACCCTTCAAAAAAGCACCTTGTGGGCCGGCCCCGTGGCTTAGCAGTTAAGTGCGCGCGCTCCGCTGCTGGCAGCCCGGGTTTGGATCCCAGGCGC